CAACCATTATTAACGGAAAGTACGCAGGTGAAAATGTATGTATTCCTCGAATACCAATAATTCCGACTGATCTTCCGTTTGACTTCAAAAGATTGCAATTTCCGGTTCGCCTTGCATTCGCAATGACAATTAACAAGTCGCAAGGCCAATCGCTTAGTGTTTGCGGGATAAATTTAGAAAATCATTGTTTTTCACATGGGCAGCTATACGTTGCGTGTTCACGAGTTGGGAAACCATCCGCTTTGTTTGTGTTAACGACAGACCAAAAAACAAAAAATGTGGTTTACCAAAGAGCACTTCAATGAAACAGATAATTTAAGGACACGTATAACGCTTCGATTCAGATTTTTTACTTAGAGAAGTTCAACTAAATTACACTTCATTTTTGTAATCGAAATGAATACATTACTGTTGTGAAATGAAATAAAATTTTTCCTTTTCAAATATAAAACAAACAAAAAATAATTTTTCTTCATCTTTTAATCCACAAACGAAATGTTACAAGAAACGAAGCCATCTGGTGGCGAAACGGAGTTCGCCGGGTTTGCTAGTTGCTTTTAAAAAGTTGATAGAAGTACTTGATTGAGATCTCCATCACCTGTGAGTATCAAATGATCAATCAAATGACTATCACTGCTCTTGTAGGGAACGATTCAATGAATGAGACTGTGTGCGTGGAAATCATTGTTCCGCTATCGCTGTTCGTATATGGGTGAAACACGCATGTGGTCACAGAGCGAAAAGTAAGCTATGGCATGTCGATCACTGCGCTAGGTAGCGCAAGAAAAGTGTGCGCTATGACATGCCCAGACTTGTTTGTCTCAGTTTCAGTTTTGCTATCCCCGCAAGTTATTTCGGTGCGCGCATAGTTATTCAAAAATACAAAGTTTGATGCCAACCGGGGTTTCTCAGTGGATATTTAATTCATGCGAATTATAATTTGAAAGTTTCTATTTAGCCAAGGAAAAAGCAAAGCAGTATATTTAAGCCAGCACTTCCAGCAGATGTTGACCTGGGTTTTCGCACGACTGTTCCTGTTTCATCGTTTCTTTTTAGGAAATTCTTATTTCCATATTCATACGTATTATTTACACTAGTACCTATTTATGTAAATATGTATGTATTTTTTATGCTTAACATATGCAAATAATAGAAGAAAGTAAACACAACAACCATCAAGTAAATTTTTTAATCTTGTGTCAAACTGAAACTTGTTTTCCAATAATAAACGGTTAGCTGATTCAAGTTTACAAAATTAACTGAAAACTTGTATTCACTAAAGCATTTTTTATATTTGCTCAACAATGATTTTATTTAACTAATAATATTGTCCAATCAAGGTAGTCTTTTTGTAAATATTAACAAATATACATTTGTCCCAACTAGAAGTCTCAAGTAAATTGCTAACTTTCGAGAACTAGATATTTATTTCGCCATATCCAACTATGCCACTTGGTCACTATAACCAAACCTTGGTAATTATAACCAAACCTTTTTCTGGGTGTATGCAATTAGAATAGCCCATGGTTTATAAGTATTTTCCATACATTAGGTTGGTATCTATACTAATTATATAAAGAGAAGTCCCTTTTTTTTGTAACAGGTAATCTCGCGAACGGCTGGTCCGATTTTCATGGAATTTTTTATATAAATAGCTTTCAGTAACCACCATGTTTTAGGCTAAAAAAAATTTACTTTTTTCGGGTAGGTGGACCAGGGACCGATCTATTCGAAAAAATCTTATTATGGTCCGATTTGCTTAAAATTTAGTACGTAAGTAGCTTTTTAGCATATATGATCAATTTTTTCCGGAAAGTGGTCCAGGGACCAATCTATTCGAAAAAATCGTATTTACGGTCCGATTTGCTTAAAATTCGGTACGCAGGTAGGTTTTTAGCATATATTAGCATATATGATCAATTTTTTCCGAGAAGTGGACCAGGGACCGATCTGTTAAAAAAAATCGTATTTACGGTCCGATTTGCTTAAAACTCGGTACGTAGGTAGCTTTTTAGCATATATTATTATAGTCTGATTTGCTTAAAATTTGGTAAGTAAGTAGCTTTTTAGCATATATGATCAATTTTTTCCGAGAAGTGGACCAGGGACCGATCTATTCGAAAAAGTGGTATTTATGGTCCGATTTGCTTAAAATTTGGTACGTAAGTAGCTTTTTAGCATATATTAGCATATATGATCATTTTTTCCGAGAAGTGGACCAGGGACCGATCTATTCGAAAAAAATGGTATTTATGGTCCGATTTGCTTAAAATTCGGTACGTAAATAGCTTTTTAGCATATATGATCTATTTTTTCCGGAAAGTGGTCCAGGGACCAATCTATTCGAAAAAATCGTATTTACGGTCCGATTTGCTTAAAATTCGGTACGCAGGTAGGTTTTAAGCATATATTAGCATATATGATCAATTTTTTCCGAGAAGTGGACCAGGGACCGATCTATTCAAAAAAA